AAAACCGCTCATAAAGATTCTTAATGACTCTCGAGATTTTAAACCAAGAGCGAGACTTTACCGAAGAAACAATGAAACATTTTTCTCGAAAGTATATATTCCTCAACACATTCTACAACAGGACATAACCAAATTCCAATGACACAACAACAAGAGAAAATATATACAAAAGAAACGAAGCCAAACACAAAATGATCAAAATTCAACACACAATTTAAACCCTCATTCCCTGGTACAAAAGTTTCGTGTAGTTCTTGACGGACAAACCGTTACAAAGAAACTTTAAGCGTTATAGTCGAAATTATTATAATCGTAGACTCTACGCACGGTAATGGATATCTATTAAAAAGTAGCTGACGACTCCCATAGCATATTTACCATCGTCATAAATTAGTCGAAAGTAGTAACGGCAAACTTGCTGAAACCATTGAGAAGCAAAGCGAGGAGTGGTTATTAAATACTGGTTACAACATAAACGATGACACTTATAAAGTAAGATATGAAAGGAGGCGTTGAAGAATGTATACCAATCTAAGAACTTGAAGAGAGTCAAAAGCCAACACATCTGGGACCCATTTAGAGCGGATACTGGAAAGACAAAATAGCCAGAAGAATAAGAAAATGTCTTCTAAATCTTTTCGTTGAATGTAAATCAGACAAAAATATAATTTGGTGAAGAGTAAGATTTCACCATGTTCTCACCTGTTATTTTCACCCAGTTGAATTTTCATGAATTTCCTTAAAATAGAAAAATAAAGTTAGTTTTATTTTTAATTTATTTTATTTTGTATGTAAAGATATGATTTCAACAATCGGCACAACAACAATTCAAAGCGCGAACGGCGGGACTCTGTCACAACAACTCACCAAAACATCGTTAGTCATGAATCCACGTCAATGTTAGTAGAGATGATAAAACTTCATTCCTTCTTTCAACTATACTTTATGAAAGAAATCAGAAGATAAAGCCAAGAACTTTTTAACAAAGTAATTTAGACTGTAGTGCAAAGAGAAACAATCATGAACAGTATCTTTATGAAATGCAGGACCATTATTGGACCCATTTACCCAATTGCACTGAAATCCAACAACAAAAACTCACTAATTCCTGAATTCGAAGCGAATTGAAGTCAAAGCAACTGGACTCAGTAGAAATAAGAAGTTCATACGTAAAGTAAATTATGAATTCCTTGCGTTTTCATTGCAACCATTAAAGTTATGGACAAAGGATTGCGATCTATTCAGGTATATAAGAATGTTTTTGACATATATAAATCTGAAAGAATTGTCAAACCATACGGACAACTTTGTTTCGTAGTTGCATGAATGGTTTGGGAATAAGAGATAACAGATTAAGAAGAGGCAAAGTATCATGGACGACAACTAAGACCCGCTATGTTTGAGATGAAGAGGCAATTGACGCTCATTAGTTGTTCTAGCAGGTCAAATTTCAATGTATAATCACAAAAATGAACCCACAATGTTCAAAATGCTAAAGCAGCAATAAGGAAATATAACTACTCCGTCAAAGAGATAGAAAGAATTGCGAAAACGACCTATGCAGACTTTAAAGAAAAGAAGCAGAAAAAGCAACAGGCAGAAGATAAAATGGACATGTTTCAGCATTTTTGAACGAAAAACTAGGTCCAACAGAATCTAGTATTGTGTACAACTGAAGAAGAAAGCAGAGTCAAAAGAAGTAAATAAAGCTAAATGTAAATTCATTCCTGAGCACGTTTTCTTTGCTGACTTTGAGTGTAGTACGGATGGCTTTCATAAAGCTTTTAACATCTGTTATGACAGTGAAGATGGTTCAGTGAGTGAAAGCATTTGGGGTCAAAACTGTGCAACAGAATTTTTGGAAAGACTCCCTGACAAGAGTTTAATATATTTTCACAACCTCAGTTATGACATAAACTTCATCTTAAGACACATGACAGAAGTGAAAGGAACTCCCATCATTAAAGGTTCACGAACAATGCAAATAACTGGTTTATATAAAGGACGGGCAATTATTATAAAAGACTCTTACAGTGTTATAAATAAGAAGCTTAAACTATTTCCTGCTATGTTTAACTTACAAACAGGACCGAAAGAAGTATTTCCATATAACTACTACAGCAGTGTTTTGTTAGCAAATGACAACAGAACTGGTGTCATTTCTGAAGCATGTAAGTTTATCCGGGATGCAGATACATTTATGAAAAACATAGATTCCATCAAAGGTTGCAGAATAGATGAGAACCACTTCGACTTAGAAAAATATAGCACGTTTTACTGCAAACAAGATGTAAGAATTTTAAGAGAAGGTTTTGTAAAGTTCCGCAATGACTTATTGAAAGAGTTTGATTTAAACGTTTATGACTACGTTAGTATTTGTTCAATTGCTAACAAATTGTTTGAGAACAGAGTATACTTCCCGAATGGAAATCTTTATGACCTCTCAAATAAACCAAGAGAATTTATTTCGAGATGCATTCAAGGTGGAAGATGTATGTTGTCAGATAACATGAAACAAAAGAGCAAAAAGAAACTCATTGCTGACTTCGACACTGTTTCATTATATCCTTCAGCTATAGCAAGACTTTATACTTTAGAAGGTATTCCAAAAGTATTGAAGGAAGAAATGTTAAACACAGAGTATCTCATGAGACATTTATTCGATGATGACCAAAAGGAACCCATTGGTGAAAAGTTTATGTCTGGCTTCTTTGTTCTCATTAAGATAACAGAGATTGTATACCCAGACACTTTCATTTAATAGTTTGCGACCCTGAACTAAATCCAGAACTTAACGTTCCAAGAAGTTCAAACACTTGCTGTCTCATGTATGTTGACCATATAACATTACAAGACCTCATAAAATATCAAGGTGTCAAATGTGAAGTGTTGCAAGGATACTATTACGATGGAAACAGAGATATGAGAATAAGAGATGAAGTAAAGAAGTTGTTTGAGTTAAGGTTAAAGTATAAGAAAGAAGAAAACCCCTTACAAGAAATTATAAAACTCATTCTGAACAGCATTTATGGCAAAACTATTCTATCTCCTATTGAGTCAAAAATAACCATAGTAGATGACAAAGATGCTATAAGATATGCTATAAGAAATTACAACCATATAGTGAAGTTCGAAGGTTTGGATGGTTCAGATAAAACTATTTTCAAGCTAACGAAAAGCATTTGCAGACACTTTAACTTCTGTCCACTTGGTGTTAATATTCTGTCTATGTCAAAACGTATTATGAATGAAGTATTCTGTACTGCAGAGGACATGGGTCTTCAAATATTTTACCAGGATACCGACAGTATGCACTTATATAATGAAGACATCCCAAAGCTTGCAGCAGAGTTTAAGAAGAGATACGGTAGAGAACTTATAGGAAAGAACCTTGGTCAATTTCATAGCGACTTTGCAGAAATAACACCTGGAAAACAAAGTTTAGCTTATAAAAGTATTTTCTGTGGAAAGAAGACCTACATAGACTTACTCACGAATGATTTAAATGAAGTTGCATTTCACTGCAGAATGAAAGGCGTGAAGCAAGATGTTATTGCTTTAACCGCTAATGAAATGTTTCCTGAAGCTATACAATGCTATTACAATGAAGATAAGAACATTCACATACCTGTTGGAACATATGACAAAGACTCTGAGTTCAGTTTAATGAAACTTTACAAAGCACTTTATGATGGTCAAGAGATTGCATTCGACTTATGTAAGTCATGTCAACCTTGCTTTGCTGAAAAGTTCAACTTTTCAATAACGACTAAAACAAGCTTTATTCGTAAGTTGAAGTTCTGAGGTCATTTATTTTTGTCAGCAATGAGGTCATTTGTGATAAAAATAAGCCGCTAGCGGCATGGGCGAAGCCTATGTGGTCATTTACAATACAGCTATTGTAGAGTTTAACAATTGTGCTTCAATGTATAAACAATCTTTCCCATCTGGAGGTAAGAACACTGGGCACTTATGGTCATGAGTGGAGAACATGTCTATCCAAAACTCACGATTGAAGCCAGTAAGCTTGTAATACTTAGGATTTGACAGTGGTGAAGTTCTTGTATGACCAATGAACTCATTTTCAACTCCCTTACTTAAGTTTGAATATAATATAGCTTGCTTTCTATCCCAAATGCCAGGTGTTACAATCTTTGAAAATTCATTTTTCCTCGGAAGTATTGCATCATAATTGAAAACATTCTTGAAGTCTTCATTGGGTTCAGAGATTTGAAACCTTATACGTAATGGATTTTCTTTCTTTTTAGCGACTTCATTGAATGGTGAATATATAACAAACTGACAGTCATGAGTTCCATCTTCATTTTCATTAAATTCATAATGAAAGTCTATAAGTTGTGGCTGACTACCTTCTTCTTTCAGTTGTGCAAGAAACTCACGTAAAGGCTGTAAAGTTTGTACTTCAATATTGAACTTTTTCTCGAACATCTCATTAAATGAAATCATACATTGCAACAATGTTGTATCGTCTTTAAAGTATTTGTATATGTGAATGTTTTGGGCGCTTAAAGACTGTTCGTCATTTTCTATCTCGACTTGAAGTATAAAGTCAACCTTTCTGAAAGCACGTGTTATATACATAGATGTTATGCCAATGTACTTCTCTTCATTTATGTTCACAATCCAGTCTGTTGGAAACTTAAACGTTACTCTGTTCCCCTTTATTTTGACGTCAGGGTTTTCACTACTGAACGCAACAGATAAAGGTATTTGTCTATACATTTAGTTTGGATAAAAATAAACCATTTACTCTTTCTTTGCTTCAGCTTCCTTTGCTTTTTGTTCTTCCTTTGCTTTTGCTTCTTCTCTAGCTTTTTTCGCCAGCAAACGTGGGTTCTTCTGTCTTCCAGCAGCTAATGCAGCTAGTTGTTTTTCACTAAGTTTTCTCTTTGGTCTCTCTGGCTTTTGTTCTGGTTTTTGTTCCTTCAGTTCGGATAAAATTTGTTCACGAATTTCTTTCTTCAATGCTTCAACATCTATGACCCCTTGGGTCTTGTCCGTAGGATTTGACTGAGTCATTTGACTGTAGATAAAAAACTAAATTAAAACTTTAACCGATGTAAAATGAGCTTGTCAAAATCAGAACGAGAGTCTATTATATTAAATGACGCCAGAGGAATACAACATCCTTTCTATTATGTAAGTCAGAGTAAAGATGGTAAAATATATGTAAGAAAAAGAAAGGTTCCATTAGCGAATACAGAGAGCGACAACATTAAGGTGCATGGCACCGAGGGCGAAGCCCATATAAAACCTTCTGTACAAACTGAGCCACCAAAAGAACAAGAAGAAAAGAAGCCAGATGTACTTTCAATAACGAACCAAGAGCTTATTGCAAAGTTCGTGAATTTCATTGAAAAGCAAACCGAGTCAAAGAACCCTGACCCACCAGTGAAAGAAGTCGAGACAAAAGAGAATGTACAGTTCATTGAAAATGTCAAGAAACAACTTCCACCACGAATGCCAAGAAGAAGAGTGAGAATAATGAAGTAAATAGATATTTTTATCTGAAGTAAATACATGCAGAACGAACAGTTAAACGAATTTACTCCAGCAGAGCATATTCATCAGATTCGCTCATATTTCGATATCATAGACAATGCAGTTCAAATTGGTGACACTAATAGAAAATATTCTGACGCAAAGATTCCATCACAACCTGGAACTGCTAAAGATAACACATGGGTAACATTCAATCTCTCACCTCCTGGTGAAAATATGTTGGACCTTTACAATACATTCATTACGTATAAAATGGAAGGTCAATTTATTGTAGATAAAGAAATTGGTTCAGGTTCCAATAAAACAAACCCACCAGGATTTTGGATTGGTTTCGATGACGCTTTCTATGCAGTTGCTGGATATCAAATCCTTGCAAATGGTCGTATCGTATATTCTCAAGACAACGCAAGAGAAGAAGCATATATAACTTCAAACTCACAAACTACCGAACAAATAAAGAAAGTCGATGTTTTCTCAAAGACTCGACATGAAGATGTATGGAGTCATTCGGGAACATGCAGAACAGGACAAATTGTTAGTGGTCCAATTACAGCAGGAAAATCATTTGATTTTAAGCTTCGTTTAAGAATTCCTGTTAGAAGATTCCTTCCATTAGAAGCTATTCGATTTATTCCAGCTTTTGCAGGAAACATTCAGCTTAAAGTAAAGTTCAGTAGCGACGCCTTACAATGCACATCTATATCTGTAAATGATATCATTGCTTTCAATCCAACTCTTAAAGTTGCATTTGCTTCAGATTCAAATCCACCGACAAATAAATTTGTTCCATGGAATGAACCATTCACTATGATAACGAAGGCAGTAGAAGCTAGTGGAACAGTTACTATTACAACTGTAACCCAGCAACTATTTCGAACAAAGATGGATTTTAATGAATGTTTTATTCATCCAAAGTCATTCTCTTTAGACCCTAACATTTATACAGAACTTGTAGAACATTATACAAACGAGGCTTTATGTTTTCCTGTTAAAGTTATGGATTGGATTCCTATGGATGGTTCATTCTCAAAGAATACAGATAGTTCAAGTGCAACATTTACAGCAGCTTATACGCCTATTAATGTTAAAAGTATTTGGGCACTATTTAGAAAGAAAGACAACTATTATGTTAATTTTGAGAACCCTAAGTTTAAATATCTTCAGCTTTCCATGGGAGCTTATGGAAATATGCCTGCAGAACCTGAAAAATCATATGGACCTGTATTTTATGAAATGGTTGCGAACGCTTGCAATACAAACAATGATATGATAGGATTTAATGAAGATGTTATGAGGTCATTGGTGGATGATGGTAGTGTGGAACATAAATGGGATAGCTATGACAACACACATTTCTTATGTGGTTTTCCAACAGAAGTGGACTTTTGCTTCCAGCAAGGTCAAACATCTACTGCTCCAATAACATACAAATTGTCTGTTAAAGGACCTATTGAACTAGCAACTGAAAATGTACCAAAGCCACTTATTGGATTTATGAGGGATTGTTGCTTTGCATCAGTGCAGTAAGGAATCCCAATAATAAGATTGACGACTATAACTTAGCACGGACGACAGTGAGGAATAAAGGATGAACGTTTATTTTTAAAGCTTATAAATGAGTTCTTCATCAAGCTCTCGTGAACCTTCACCATCTATGAAACAAACTTTACCAAACGATTATGGAGCACCTATTGAATATTTCTTACGAGCTGCACAATGGCAAAGAGCAGTCTCACCAAGGTTAGGTGTTCCACCAGCTCCTGTCAAAAATAGCATTTGGTCAAGTCCTTATAAAGATATGGTCTCCCACTAGGTTTGCTAGCTACAGCAGGAGCAGTATGATGTTGAAAAGAAAAAGCAAATGTTATAAATAATACTGAAGTAGCTGAAGTTAAACAAACTCCGACACCTTCGCCAAAACCTTCAATGACTCCTGAACCTATGGAAGTACAAACTCCTGTTCAAAAGTCAACTCCTAAACCGACTCCAACATTTAAACCAGAACCTACTCCTCAAATAAATCGTAAAACTCCTGCGTTTCCTTACTGAAAAAATAACGTTATTTTTATTTAATATTAAAATTTTTATTTGATTGAAATGACAAATAAAGTCACTGAAGCAATGAAACAAAAGTTTTTGGTAGAATACATTAAATCAGGAACTATTCCGGAAGGTTTTTACATTCATACTATGAAGGATGGTAGAGTTCAGTTTAGAAAGATAAAGCAACCATTAGATAGAGAAGGTATATTAAGGAAGATTAAACTTCATGAGGACAACATTGCTGAACTTAGGAAGAAGTTAGAAGAGTTGGAGAAAGGAAGAGAGTTATAAAACAATGAATTCAAGTGGGTGAAAAAACAGGTGAAAAAAGAGGTGAAATCTCACCTCTTCACCTAAATTTATTTTTGTGCTATGTTTTCATACGTGTGGGAGTGGTGATATCATTAATTTTTAAGTTTATTTTATTATTTAGCGAGAACGTTTATTTTTATATAAATGACAGAACAAAAGCAACTCATTCGAATTCCACAGTATAACAAACATACATTTAAACATTTATTCTTCCTTCCTGAACATAACATGTTCTTTCAAATACATCCGAGACCAGTTGACTTTTCATTGACTGTGTATAAAGATAGAAATAGTTATATCATTAAACCATACGATGACGAAGGTAAGTTATGTAAATTGTACGTTAAGAAGTTAGAGAAAGTTTATGGCTTCAAGTATGACTACAATAGGGTTAACACTGATGATGAAGATATTGAGGAAAATTTATGAGAACATTAGTGAAGTCGTTAGTGAGAACGATAGTGAGAACGTTTATTTTTACATTAGTGAGTTCGTTAGTGAAGTGGTTGGCGGCTTTGTAAATATTTAAGGTTAAGTTAGTTTTTGCGTTCGTGTTGTAAAATATACGTTACTGGTTTTGTAAATATTTAAGGTTATATTGAGTAAGGTGGAACGCAGTGCCGCCGTACCCAAGATAACCATACTAACTTGTGGACAATTACAATCTTCAACCATGGTAAGTCTTTGTCAACAACATAGTCGTCATGTGAAGAACCTTTAGCTGTAGGTATGTTGACTCGGATATTGACATTTGCCAACGGTGCAATTTTTGCCAATTGACCTCTGAGAATGTACCTTGTCTTCACACATGACTCAAGATACTTCATCTTCTCATCTGTAGCAAGACCAGAGTTCCTGAGACATGTAAGAATGCAAGGTTCGTTGACAATTGTTTCAATTGAATTGTAAATTCCATACTTTGTCAAGTCAATGTCAGACTTATTTATGAACGGGAAGTATCCAGCATGTTGTCTGACTGCTTGAGGGTTAGGTTGGTACCATTCGAACTTGACACTTGCAATTCCTTCAATTGCATTCAAAATGTCTGAGTCAGAGTCAACCATTTGTTCTCTCTTTGTAGTCTTGAAAGCGTCAAGAAGTTTTGCGGCTGTTTGTTCATTGCCATGTGCATAGTAAATGTGACCATCCAAATCTGTTATGGTCAATCTGAGATTGTGTCCTTTCTTATTTCCGTCTTGAATTGCAGCAAGTACTCCCATGAAGCCTTCTTTGTTCTTTCCTTCGTCAAAGTTTACTGTAAAGGTTCGACCAGATGTAATTTGACTTCTAACTTCACGATACTTTTCATATGCATATCTTGTTCTTTCCATGGGAGCATGTGCGTCTTCACCTTTTCCTTTTTTCCTTCTCAAAGGATGCAATTGTTCGTCATGTTTCCAGTAGAATCTGGCAAAGCCGTCGTGTCCTTCTGTCATAAGACGAAATGGTGGAAGTGAGGTGAAGTCAAAAAGTGACATATATTTGGCCGGCTAAATTCCCCTTTAGTTTACATGTCAAAATTACAATAAATTAATTATTTTGCTTAGCAATTAGCTATGTATTAAAACTAAAATTATTACTATTCAATTCTTTACATTCAAATATTAAACAATTCAAATTTAATAACAAAGATATTACAATAAATAAAAAATGATTAAAAATGTCCCTGAAAATTTTCTGAAAGCTATCTCGTGTTTAGGTCTCAATTTTTTTAGAAATAGAAAAAGATTGGATTTAACTTTCAAACATTATATATAGTTTTGTATATGGAAGCCTTTAAATACAAGTTAATGATATGGAGTTGTATTGCGAGGAAGAGGGAATCAAAGAAATTGACGAAGTTCCAGAATTTTATTCAACAATTCTTAATCAATTAACAAAAACTATACCGAAACTTATCTTACCATCCAAATCAAATCACATTACATACGGAATAAACATTTAATCTTTTACCATTAAAATTATATTTATACGTTATTTAATTTTTTTACGTCTAAGTTGAATAGGATAATAGCCGAAGATATAAAGTAACTATAGTTTACAAGCTAAGGAACAAATCAGCATTGAAACTAAAAAATGCTGAAATATTATAATAAATTGAAGAAATACTGTGATAGAATACCTAGTTATACTAGATACTATTATAATATGAATTCATTTGTATTGAATATCGATAATAAAAAATCGATGAAATATTAAAATGAGAATTGTTGTAAACAGAAATTCATCAAAAGTGACACCTCAGAAAAGCTAAAATATTGAATTTTTGGAACTTTTGATAGAGCACGTTTTTAAATATTAATTAAAGTAAATGTATATTTTGTAAAGATTCTTTTTAATAAAAAAATAAAATTTTGAAGAAGAACACAAAATCTTCTGAAAAATAATATCACATAAACTCAGATTATTTTCTAATATATAACTATTTTATATAAAAATCAAATTCAATGATCTTAAAAGCGAAGGATAAACCTCAAAATTTACGAATATAATGTGTGGGAATATAATGCTTATCTATCATAAAACCATATGAAATATCAATTTTTGCTTTACGCCTAATTTTTGACGACAATTAGCAAAAAATGTTAAATGTTAACACTCAGTCCATTTGAATATGAAAAATAAAATTGACTTTGATTAAATGTTTTTATTTATCATGCAATTCTTCTTGCGACCAAAGATTTGAATAAAATTTCAAAAAATAAGATAGCTTAAAAAATAATATACGGTAGTGTTTACTAATAGATGAATAGTATATAAATTCTATTAAAATGGATTTGATCCAAAAAAATATAAAATCAAAAATAATTGTTATACCCAGATTTTCCTTACTTTTACCACCCCTCTAAAGCTGGGGACACCGCCTATCGTTGGGAGTAGCTATTAAATAGAACCACTCAGGGTATTTTTCGAACTGCCGGTGTAGTGTAGTGGAAACATCCGACATAATGATTCATTATGCCAAGGTTTGATTCCCATTTAGCCAATATTTTTCTTTTTTGGATCATGAATTTTTTTTGGGTCACTATAAGATTTGTTTCATGTTCTAAATCTGCTGCATATGTAATCTATTTTTATTTACCTATTTTTTAAAAATCTATTGGATTGCCAAATTTGAATATATTTAAAATCATAAAACTCCAAAAAAACTATAAATATATGTTTTATGCATAGTGCTGATACTCAAATATCAGATTACTTAGATCCATGAATAATATCCGAATTTTTTTTCTTAAAATTAAACTTCAAAACTTCTTGCAATCTTATTCTTCATCAATTGTAAATTTTTAAAACCATTTTTTAAAATAATTTTGCGTAAATTTTATTCTCATGTTGTTTTAATCGAAAATTGATACATTTTCAAAAAAATAATATTGACTTATGAAATTCATTTTTAAGGTGAAATAGTATTGTTTTTATTAAAGTATATGAATAATATATAAAAAATTAATGAATAATATAAGCAGATTTTTAGTTTACAAAACAAATATGAGCAATGCAATTTCAAACTTTTGCTGGCAATTTCGATATTGCTCAAGTTTGTAGTATTTGTGATACCTATAACATCGGCTTAATCAAAATTCGATTTTTCTTATGAGTTATTGAGAAAATTTGATTGCAATGAGAAGGATTTCGACGTTTTTGATAAACTAAGAGCTGAGC